CATATTATTAATAAATTATTATTTTATTTAAAAAATACTAAATACAATTAAATTTTCCAGACAAATTTGCCTGAAATACAGTTTAAGAGATAAAATAACTTAAATTTTATAATATTTTTGATTTCTTTTTACATATATTTTTTTGCTCAAAATGTTAGCTATTTTAATTAAAAAAATCTAACTTTTGAGCAAAAAATAGTTAAATATGTTTTACAAAGGTGAAAGAGCTTGGTTAAGAGATTAATAATTTATCATCTAGATAGTTTTTTCATCTACTTCTTTAAAAACTTAGTTAGTATAGTTAGAGTTAAAGGTATTATATAGATAAGTATATAGCAAAACTATACTTAAAATAAATATTTTAAATATAGTTTTACTTTTTTTTCAGTATTAAGGTAAGGTCTTGCCTCATATCTTTATTTAGATAATTCCAAATATTTGGCTTATATGGCTACATATCTAATTTAAGAATATAAACTTAGACAATTTTATCTAAGACCTAAACCTACCAGAGTATGTTATGTTCCCACTACATATTAGGTTATATCTGGATTTGGTGTTCAGACTATATCTAGTTACTCACTATATTCACCCTATATCTCACTATCAAATCTTGATAACTTCTAAATTGGTTCATTTAGATAATCGGTCCTTCATAGCTTCCTAATTTGGTGTGCCTATTATTTAAAATATTTTTTAAACTGGTATATTTCTTCTAATAGGTGGCTTCTTGTCTACATTTCTCAAATCAGGTACCTGCTACTGCTGCTAGTTCCATATAAGAAGTATTGAAATCACATATTAGAAAGAAGACTTATTGTTAGATTTGTATTGACTAATACCAACTTGCATTTTATCATATAATTTAATATTATATGAATACCCCAAATCTTCTACTTGTTTTTTCAAATATATTAGCTTCATATCTCAAGCCAGGTCCTGCTACCACTACCTGGTTTGCCATCTTCAGGTTTTAGTATTTTCTAAGTTATTTGGTACAATATATATTTTACTACTCCCTTAAGTACTCTCTTATATGATATTCATCAGAACCATAGTTTATGAGAACCCTTGAGTTGTATAGCAACTACAAGGCTATATACTCCTAACTATTAACTATTTTTGTAATGCTGCTTTAATGACCTATCTTGTTAAAGACTAGCCTAACACCACAAAATTACTTAAATGGCAAGCTAAATTACTTCTAGCTATTTCTAGTTGGTTCATATTAGTGTTAGTAAATCTTAACTCTTTTTTATCATAGACTTCCATATAGATATAACCAAAGCTCTAAATTGGTACCTTTAATCATACAGGGATAGGTTACATTCTTTATGCCAAGTAGCCTTCTATAGTTGTTTTACTAGTGCCAGAGGTGCTTTCAATTTTAGTTAAGACATGATCCTTTACCACAGCCCATAGTTTTGTATCACTGCTTTTCTTACTACTCTAGTTTTTGGTAGTATTATATTATTTTTCCAAGCAAGTACTCAATACTATTTCATATTAGGACTTATATACACAATCTATTGATTATCTTTTTAAGCAAGTACCCACAAGTTGGGTATAAGGATGTTGATATTGCCAAATATAGAGGTGATGGGATGTTGGTGTTGTCTTTGAGTTACCCTAACCAGAGGATTTATACATGTGATTTTCTACTGTCTAAACTTTCTGTGATACCGCTATCACATGTAGTACCTTCACTCTACAACCTGATCTTCTGAGAACTTCTTATTCTGGTTTTGTACTGCACTTGAACTTTTTCACAGGGCTTTGCATTCAATTATGGTTTCTGTAGATTACAGAAACAAATTTTATTAAAATTTGCCTCCAGCCTAGTGCTTCTAGATCTGGTCTGGGTCTGGTCTGGTCTGAGTCTGGTCCGAGATCAAACCAGACTCAGACTCTAAATTTTACTAATTTCAGACTTCAGACCAGACTCAGACTCAATTGTGGGTTCGGTCCAGGTCTGGTCTGAAGTCTGCAAACTAGTCTGAGTTCGAAGGTGGAATCAATGTATTCTAAAAAACTATACTATACTGGTTAAAACATCTTGCTGAAATTCATCCGAATCTTGCAAAAACTAATAATATTTCTGTTAGCAAAGTCGGTGTTTCAGCTGCTTTCATATTTTCCAGTAACCGGATCAATAAGTTACTGACTTTGGCTGATGTCAAAAACTTATCATTTCGGTTATTTTTCAAATGTTTCAAAATTCATGCGTAGAAATGGCTATAATGCAGATCTAACAATTTTCTTCGAGTTGACGTACGTATGACATACGTAAGTTAACAGATTGAAAAGATGGCTAAGCAGGACATAAACGCCTCAAAAGGCCCGGGTAAGGGGCGGGATCATGAACTGGACGCAGCAGATGCGGGAGACATGTGGCGATCGTCGCGAATTCTTAAAAGAAGGCCCGAATATAGGTGAGTATGATGTAAAATCAATTTTCGCAAATGGCAACCATTGAACCTGAACAGGATCGATACAAGGTGAAGCAAGTACAAGTTAAAGGAGAGCAAATCCAATAGCTATTCTAGAGTAATTAATTCCGTTGCGAGAAACAGAATGTAGTCATGACCCAATCACGCCCAATCCTGCCTA